AGTTCAGAATTATTGCAGTTCACTAAGTATTTCTTTATCAAATTACCTAATGCGAATGGATGGGATAAAGAGATCAAATAATGTTTGTAAAGAGCTAAACATTGCTTAGAGCTACAAGAGTCAGGAACTTGTGGAGAGCCATGGTCGTCCATATAAAAGAAGATAAAATACATAAATGTGTAGTGATCTTAGTCTAAAAAGCAATTATGACAATTGCCCCCCACATTGCGGGAGAGTAATCACTTAGTTTAGTCATATGGGTGAAGTACTAGTACTATTAGTGAATTTAGGAAAATAACTTGTTAGATGTCACTTTACACTCTGCTTTTTTTTTTTACAGTGAGAGTCCCCCATTACAAGGCCCGCGGGCCACTCGAGGTAGAGGGTTACATTAGGAGGCCATTTGTGTACATAGGTGAGGGAGATAATGATTAATCCTAGTCTTGAATAGGTTAAGAAAATAGTGATCGGGTAAACATCTTATTGGGAGTCGATTCCACAGGGCAGTGGTTGGCAGGTAGAAGTTGCTCGCGTGGAACTATGGAATACGGAGGGTATGTGGCTGGTTTGCTATTATGTAAGTGGCATGGCGTATACTTGCTATGAAGGTTTGTCTCGGCAGGACCAGAGAATGTAGTTTATCCGAGCATTTTCCATTGAAGTAACGGAAGAGCAGCGAGAGACTTGTCACACCCCGTTGAAGAGTGAAGAATAATTCGTCACTCACAAGGTCTCAGAGACGCCTTTGAACTCTATCAAGGCTGCAGAATGAGGTCTTGGCAGCTCCTGCTCAAATATGACAACAGAACCCCATTTTCGGCCTGATCTGGCTTTTGTAAAGGTAGAGTATAGCAGGAAGAGTCAGGTACTTACTGGAGCGGTACCAGAAGCTGACCATATTATATGCATCCTTAGCAACGGGTTGTATGTACAAGTTCCACTTCAGGTCGGATGTGAGTTTCAGGACTAACAGTCTTTCAAGTCACGGTGCTTCCCCTAGAGTCCCTCGATTCATCTTGATTTATGTTAGTTGGGGGTCAGATCGGCGATGATGGAACGTAATTGGCTTGGTCTTCGAGGCATTGAATGTAAGCAGCCAGTTTTTACCCCATTGGGTATTTGTACAAGAACGGAGGAAAAACTCTGGCCGTCGAGAAGTTTAAAAGTGCACTCGTATACAGTCGTATCGCCGGCATAGATGTTTACAAATGATCTAAGTATATTCTGGGGCAGATCATTTTTATAGATCAAAAACAGAGTTCGTCCAAGGAGGGTCACGTGTAAGGCGGAATTTGCATTAGTGATAGAGCTTGGTGTTCGAACCCAGTTAAAACTACAGAATTCGACGACTGGCTATTAATAACTACCTTCAGGAAGGATTTTATGACCGAGAAAACACTTCCAGCGATTCCATAACTGTAGAGCTTCTGTAGTAGACATTTATGCCTAGTCGAAGGCTTTTGAGTTTTGATTCTGTGAGTGATGGTCGTTAAGACATCAGCAGTGGATTGGGACAACTGAAACCCATACTGCTCGTCGCTGAAGGGGTTGTACTTTTATAGGTGCTCGACCTCCTTCTTAATGATTATGGCCTTAAAACGACTACTAATGATACTGACGGGTCTGTACTGTAAGGAAGAAGATCTCGCGCCCGTATTCTTGAAACCCGAACATACGCTTGACACTTTCCACTTTAAGCAGCGGTTGAATAACTTTTCTAGGATTGGGGATAATTCCGGGATGATATTCGTAAGGACTGCCACTGGAATTTTATCTGGGCCAGTGGCTTTCTTAGGGTCGAGACCTCTGTTAAGTCTAGAAACTTCTGGTGCTGTGATGTTAATATTACTGAGATTTTGCTCATTGAAACTTGGGAACTTTGTGGGGGATATGGTCTTTGCCATCTAATGTAGAGTTAGTGGCAAAGATAGAGGCGAAGAAGTTCGCTTTATCTGTCGAGAAAGATATAACCACGGAGGGTTGTACGAATACCCAAAGAGTTGTATATATATATATATATATATATATATATATATATATATATATATATATAATATATATATATATATAAAATGGTGGTACTCATTGGAAAAAAACCTTGGGTATTTCGGCTTGTAGTAGAACAAACCAGTACCCAAGGAAAAATGAGGAATAAAAAAGAAAGAACCAAGAATATGAAACTGAGGCGAAAACAATCGTCCAGATTTCAAGCTCAGAGTCTAAAGAAAATACCCTTCAAAACCAGTAAAAGCAACTACGTAAAGTGCTCAATACACGAATACCTAAGATAAACCTAAGGAGCCAGGCAAACTTACCTAGGTTTCACCTAAACGGATCGTCAGGGTAATGCTGGCATCTTATCTTATCTTATCTTATATATATATATATATAAGCGAAAAAAAAACATATTTTAAATCAATTAATTTATAATATATATATATATATATATATATATATATATATATATATATATATATATATATGCTTTTTTGATTTAATAAGAAATCTGTGATTTTTTTATTACTAATATTTACCTTAGTACACTGGATGACGCCAAGACTAAAGAAAAGACTGCTTACAAGCTATAGAATATCAATCCTCTTATAGATATACTGGATAATTTCTTCATAGATGAAGAGGAGACTTGAGGCAGCGGAAAAAAAGTAATTCTACAGAAGTATGATGAGAATAACATGGACAAAACATGTTATCAACATGGAAGTTTTAAGACAAAGGACACAAAGATGACATTTATATTTAGTAGTAGAAAAAATGAAATTTGTAGAACATATAGTGAGGAAAGAAGGTTTGGGGAATTTGAAACTTACATGAAGGCAACAGGGTAGGAAAATGACCATGTTTAAATGGATGACAGAAACATGAGTGGAGGTAGTGAGAATATAGTCAACACTTAAAGCTGCTGGTGAGTCATGGTCGCCCATATGTGGAAGGGACGGCATATAAAAAGATTATTTAAGTAGAATATTTTAAAAATTTTATAGCATAATTGAACGCATGTTTCTGCGTGTGCATATGGGTGTGTAAAATGCATAACTGTGTGTACATTTTTGCATGTTTGAACGTATATGCCTGCGTGTGTGTTTGAGCATGTGTGTGTGCGTATGTGTGTGTAAAATGTATAACTGCGTCTACGTTTTTGTATGTTTGAACGTTTATGCCTGTGTGTGATTTTGAGCATCTGTGTATGTGCATGCATGTGTGTGTAAGCGTATGTGCGTGTAAAATGCATAACTTCGTGTACATTTTTGCATGTTTGAACGCTTATTCCTGTTTGTGTTTGCTCATTTGTGTGTGTTTGTTCATTTGTGTGTGTATGAGTGTGTGCGTATGTGTGTATAATATTCACAACTCCGTGTACATTTTTGCATGTTTGAACGTTTATACCTCTGTGTGTGTTTGAGCATGCATGTGTGTGTGTTCATGCATGTGTATGTGTTTCTGTATGTCTGTGCGTGTAAAAAGTATGCCTCTACGCGTGTTGTGTGTATGCCTGCTCCTGTGCATATGCGTTTGTGCGTGAAATCTGAAATCGATCAAATAATTCAATGTTAGAAAAGAAAGCCATCGAAATCGAAAATATGTAACTATTTAGGCAATGATATCTGTAAGAAATGAAGCAAGGATGTTGATAAGAAAAGAATGAACATTGCAGACATCCCTCCCTCCCTCCCTCCCTCCCACTATCGCTCTCTCGCACACACCTGCAGTCGACCAGACCACTTTATATATATATATATATATATATATATATATAAAAGTTTTCTATTTGATACATTTATCCTCGCTTTTTATCGTTATTAACCGAGATTTCTTTCCTTTTGTGTTATTAACTGACCTGAAAAGATTGACTAACTTCCGAAAGAAATGACACAAAACGACGAAATTTTTTTTCAGCCCGACTACTGCCTTCAATGTTTGAATCTTCAGGCAAAATTATTATGTTGATGATGCATCGTTTTGATTGGCTGGTTGTTAGGAGGAATAATAATAAAATCTTAGGATTCTGGGTCAGACATCAAATATGCCTATTTACTGTTTTTTTTTTTTTAATAATCATTTCCCGCCAAAAACGAGAACAAAAGCCAATAAAAGAAAAACACTGAAAAAGACAGATGATGATGATTGACATTTCATTCAAATTTTTGAAGATCGGAGTTGACAGGATAACAAGAAGCTGGGAGAGAATTTCACAAGCGAAAAGTGCGAAAGAAGAAACATGCAATTTATGGTTACAATTAATGTTGTAACCCAGAAAGAGTTACTGAATGACGAATAACCAAAGCGGAAGTTTGGAATGAAATGGAAGTCTTTATAACATCAACAAACTACAATACTCGCCAGCGGCGTGAAGTAGGTAAACTACTTCTAGTAATGGACTACTTAGACAGCATATTGCCACCACTTACAATATTGTCCAACGTATTTATTACCCCCACTTACAATAGTGTCCACTGTATTTATAGGATTGGGGTATACCCATTAGTGTTCATAGATACGGTATATAACAATTAGAAATTTCAACAGTGAAATTATGAGACCAAGCTGCCAATCGAGTACTGCGCTTAAATTCGTGAAGTAGAGTTAACAAAGAGTAAAGCTCACCAGAACAATTAACGTGGAAATATTTATAGAAATGGAAAACGAAACAATGTTACGGCCTTGGGAAAGCGACTGAAGCCGAGATACCAGGTCAGGATAAAAAACCTTGCCGATTATTTATTTGGGTTTTTGTTAAGATTGACTGGTTTATCAAACTTTTGCAGATTATTTAAATCCATAATATATCTTGAGGATGTAGGAATTTTTGGGAGCTATATTGATTTACAGATACAAGTATTACTAACCCATAGCTTAGATGTGGATTCATATCTTCCCCAATGGAACATGTGCATAATTAAATAAACCCGACTAGAATTGGAACTCGGCTTTCTGCTCACCAATTCTGAGCCGTTATCCATTACCGCATTAACTGATCCAAGCTTACAGCATCTGGTATTCCCAAGCGATCAGCCATCTAGGTACTGGTCAAGCGGGAAGTTGCTTGACTTCGGTGATCGTAGGAAAACGGTGTGTCAACGTGATGTAGCCGCAAGTCGGATGTTGTCAAGAACTTTTGGGCACATAGATGGAGCACTTGACCAGTTGTGACAGCAATATTCAATGTATGGATGGACCAATGCTAGACTTGTAAATGTGCAAGATAGATCTGGCGAGAACAATGGTCTGTCAAGACACAGGGAACCAACTTTCCTCCAAACAGTAGATTTAGGGATTTCAAAACTTTGTTTTCGTCTTTAGGTTTGTAAAATCTGCAATATAACTATGGAATTAAAATCAGTTGTTACATTTTCATCATCATAATCATCATCATCATCATCATCATCATCATCATCATCATCATCATCATCCTTCAGCCTCCTTATGGTTGGTCGGAACTCCATTGACAGTCGCTTTCCACACTGTTCAGTCCTGCATTGCTGACCGCAGGTTCCTAATGCCTAACCCTAAGTCCCAAGCTAGACAATTTTCGTGAGAAGACACATCCAGAAGGATTCTATAGGAGTAAGAATGAGACGATTTTCTTATCCGATCTGTAATCATTTTTGTTTCAGCTTAAGATATATTGGTTTCGGTTCTCCGTAAATTGTTTTGTTTAACAAAATTATTGGATAGGATACATACATTTTAGCATGACTACTTCTCGTGCCATTATAGTTACAATTCTCACTTTATTATCATCCATTTCTTTCAGATTTCTACTAAAATCCAGTTCTTTGTTTACCTCTTCACTCTTTTTCTGTTTCAGCCTTTCAACGGCTGAAACTTCGACAAATGTTTTCGTTGAAAGATTAGATAGCAAAATGATAAGCCTAACTTTGAGCTACAAAGAACAGGAAATTGTGGAGACCTCCTGAAGAGACACGGTACATAGAAGAAGTCTTATCCTCATCATCATCATCAGACTTCGAACACCCTATGGTTGGTCGGAACTCCATTGACAGACCCTTTCCAAACTGTTCGGTCCTGCATTGCTCTCCCCAGTTTCCGAATGCCTAACCCTGAGTCCGAGCTATGGGAAAGTCAATTTTCGTGAGAAGAAACTTCCAGAAGCATGCCATACGAGTAAGAATGAGATGATTTCCCTATCCACTTAGTGGCAGTGTATACATATATTATATGTATTATATGTATTATACATATATTATATGTATATGTATTATATGTATTATACATATATTATATGTATTATATGTATTATATGTATTATGCATATATTATATATATATATATATATATATATATATATATATATATATGTATTATACATATATTATATGTATTACATAAATTATACACTTTATATACACTTTAGTTTTCGATATGTGGAGGCAAATGTAAGAACTACGACGGGGCAATTTTAATAAGAACCAAACAAAAAGTAGTCATGAGATGACATTGACATATCCACAATGCCGGAATGTCAAAAGTAGTAAATGCTACGGACACCTCATTTTCGAGGTCCATGTATTAAATACTTTCAAGCAGTCTTTTTTTTTATTATCAGTGTATAAGGCCTGGGAGCACTCGAGGTAGAGGGATACATTGAGGCAGTTTATACGGCGAGGAGAGTAAGATAACGCTTAACTCTAGACTTGAAAACGTTAAGATTGTAGTGATCGGGGAAACATCCTCTTGGGAGTCGGTTCAACAGAGCAGTGAAAGAAGCTGTTCGAGTGGAACTTATTTCTCAGGGAGGGAATGTGGGTGGTTTGCTACTATGCAAGTGGCATGGTGGGTCCTAGCCTTGAAGGTTAGAACCGACGGAATCAAGAAATGCAGTTCGTCCGAGCACTTTCCATAGAGCACATCTCGCCTGTGAGAGGAAGGTTGGAAGGTGGGAAATAAATTGTCACACACAAGGACTAGGGAACTCTTTTGAAGTCTATCGAGACTGGATAGTGAGGGCAGGGAACCTCGTGACTAAATATGACTACAGTACTTCATTCTCGAACTGATCTGTCTCTTGTAAAGTTAGAGGAAAGCAGTTGGTATTTAATGGAGCGTTACAAGTGACCGCTGGTGAAATCATTATCTCAGGATTTGGTAATATTAATGTTTACACGTCGGGTGAGTTATCTCTTGTCAGCTAAAATTATATCCAGGCTGTTAAATCTACTTAAATATACCGTTATAAACATTTTTCCTGATTTATGATGCTGATAGAACATACACATTTATCTGTTATTAAGCTCTATCATTATACAATTTACGATTTAATAATTATGTACATTTTTTTTTATTTAGGTCGATGTATAGCAAATGCTACAAGCCAGGTAGTAGGCTTTATCCAGATATAATTCAGACTCCTTGATATCTATATTGAGAAAAACAGAAAGTGAATGCAGGACAGGATTGAAAACATTTAGGTAGGTACCCCCACTAATTCGGTATACGTAAGCTTTAAAATGAACTTGAAATAATGAAAAACTTACTTGAAGCTTTCATTTTAGCTTTAATTGAAAGCTAAAGGATTTAAAATTTACTATTTCCAGTAGGCAAAATATTCTGGATGCATTTCAAACAGAAATCATATTGATCAGAATCGATTTTTTTCAATAAAATCGATCAAGGCGGCCATATTTTACAGATTTGCAAACAAAAGTTAATTCTCGGTTTTAAAAATCCTGCAAAAATAAAATAAAATTAACAATTTGAAACAAATATTACTTATAGTATAAAATGTTCTATGCAAACTTTTCTTAACTACGGGGTCTTGTTTTTCTGATTATTATTTGTTTTTCGATTTATTGACAGTCGATTGAAGGCCTAATGTGTTCATAGTTAAGTATGGTTGAGCAGAAGATAAAGATTTTTTCGCCGTAGGGGGAGGGACAGCTCTTAAAACACGTGACCTTTTAATGCTAGATTTATCGGTTTTGTAGATCCATACCAAAACTAGTAGAAATTATTTAAAAAATATTCGGGGTCGTCAGATTGCAATAAACTTTACAATATATGATTACTAAATATAGTTTTACTTAATAATAATATTTCCTTATAGCATTAAAAAGAATTTTAAAAGATTTAAAAACTTTATAAATTATTCAATTTAAAACTGTACAAGAGTAAAAACAAATCTTCTAAAAATTAATTTTTCGATGAAAATTATTTTTTCTTCAGACAATATTGTCTTTATTATATGTTATTTTTAAAAGCAATTCAAATCTTCTCCAGTTAAATGATGTCTTAATTTTATTGTGTTTAATTTATTTTTCGATTCAGAACAGATTTTCGGTAAGACCGGATCTAATTTAAAAAAAAAAAATATTCGGTGATTTAAATTCTTCGAAGAATGCTGCTTTTAAGTAATATAGTCACTAAAAATTATATCGTTGAATTTTTCAAGTTTTCATAAAATTAAATGTAAAAAAAATATTTTTACCAAGATTTTCCAATAAAAAAAATCAAAAATAATTTCATTCATGTGTAAATAAGTCCTGAAAAATTCATTAAAATCCGACAAATATTTGATTTTTGCAAGAATTTTCAAATTAATATGTTTGTCACCTCAAAAAGAGGCCCAAATTTGCTCTGACGCAGGAAAAACAAGTTTTTAATCAAAATTTTGAGTAAAAATTTAATTAAACAATAAAAAAAATCTTTGACTCTTTCTCTTAATAATAACATAATGATTTTGACGAAAAATCTACTCTGTTATTACGTTTGCAGCATGTTTTTGTCTTAAAATTCTGATTTTTTTTAGCGTTTTCGTGGAGGTACCAAAATTTCAATGAGAGTTTGGCAATTCGAGAACTATTTGCATTTGTTTCAATTTGTGAAATTGCAATAGAAAGTTTAAATTAAAAGCATACGAAGACAGGGTATAAAAGATTGCATCTTGAGGAAAGTCGAAATGAATAAGGAACTATAATGTAAATAAATCTTTACTTAATTTTTACAAAGATGCATTAATTGTAAATTATATACACCAATGTGCAAATTAATTAAAACGAAACGAATTATTCCATCATTATTTACTTTTTTTTTTCGAATTTTTCCAAAGAAACACGACCCGGTGCACATGTTAGTACTTCGCATGCGAATTCCACGAAGCCGTTCCTTGCAGATTGACCACAGAATCTCGATTAGATTTAAATCAGGAGAGTTTCCAAGATAATATATAGTACTCTTTTAATTTTAAATTAATATTTCATTCTTCATATAACCCCAGATTAATGTCATAAGGTTAATATTCTGGTTTAATTTTATAAAAGTTTTTTCCCTTTAAGACAAATAGCTTTCAGCCTCCCCTGATCTCTATCTCGTGCTTTTCGTCTGACAGAAACACTGAAATGGATAGATTAGTTTTTCAACGGATTGCTTTTTTTTTTAACTTTCACAGTTAAATTTCTATTTCTGACACGAACTCAGTTCACACTGGGGTTGATAAGAGAAACGACCGATATGTTCGTCTGCCGAAATAGACTATTCCCCATATGAGGGGATTTGGGATTTTATTGCTTATTAATTATAATTTTCTCTAACAATAAATACATTGAGCTCTATTTGTTGATCATTTGTAATATTTTATATTACTAGGATCCACTTCGATTATATACCAACGGAACTGTTACCTTTTCTATTCTATATATATATATATATATATATATATATATATATATATTCTATATATATATATATATATATATATATATATATATATATATATATATATACATATATATATATAAAAAAAGAAAAGAACATTAAGATATATAATCCAGTGTTCTTATAGATATTTTTATTTTCACAAAATAGTGCTCAATGTAAATTTACAGAGCATTAATATTATAAATTTTTTTTTCGCTACACAGTTCTAACCATGTTTCAAAAATAGAAATTAAAAGCCCCGAATTTAATTTTGTAATTAAATTAAAGACATTAGTTCCATTTCATCCTCAAGCGAATTTTTACAAAATTAAATTCAGGGCTTTTAGCTTCTATTTTTGAAACATGGTTAGAACTGTGTAGCGAAAAAAATTTAAATCAATTAATTTATAATTATATATATATATATATATATATATATAT